AGGGAAGGACCCGAACAATTTAGGAGAGAATTTATACCCATATTTAGAAATAGATTACAAGTTCATAAATTTTATATATACCAATTAAGAAGGATTTTTGAAGGCTACCCTCTATTTGTTTGTTGTCACAATGGCTTAGTTAGAAGTTTATGTCCAACTATGAACTGGTAGATCATTAACATTTTAAACGTTTAACCGATAAAAAATCGAGAGCAGAATAGCAATACTCTACTCGAAGAACTCTAAGGTAAAAATAATAATAATCATTTTTTTTTTCCATGCTAACAATGATATTTTGACTCATTGACGTAAATTATTTATGACAAACAATCAAAAAACCATATTGCCTATCTTACACTACGGCACAATAAAACTTTAATTATTATTTTAAATTATTGAATCCAGTATGGATAATAATATTCCTTGTTTAATATATTAATTACTCCAAATAAAAACTTTCGGGGAGTAATTGTGATACTATTGTGGTGTTTAACAACATTCCCGACCCCCACAACTCATTTGTGACCTTATGTTGCTGGATAGAGACACGCATAATAGTCATTGGAAATTGGCAAGGTAAGATCTGCATATTATTTAAATGGTGGGGCTGTGCATAATAAAGAAGGTAAGAGTAAATAGAGTCTCGTGGCATATCCTCGTGTAAATTGGTTTTTTTTGTTATTTGATGAATTAATCTGTAACTGATACTATAATAATGATAGACGCGCGCGGGATGAAGTAAATAATGTATGAATGGATGCAGATTATGGGGTGTTTGTATAAAATAGAAGGCGTCGATGTCGAAGGAAAATTAATTTGGTAAGTTATAATCAATGTCTCTCAATACATCATCATATCATAATCATCAATGTCAACAATATTAAGGGTTAAATCATTCATTCATTCATCCGTTCATTCATTCCAACAATCGCCATCCTGTAAACATGTATATGTGTGTATGGGTATTTTTTTTTCATCAATCATTTTAAAAAAAAACTTGTGATATTTGTTGATTGATTTTATTGATTTTTTTTATCACTTACACAAAATCAAATCTTTCTCTCGTTCTTTATTTTAACACACACACGCACAAAACAACAATGATAATGAAAAATGATAAATAAATCGGATTTAGGTTAATTGTCAGTAGTTTTTTAAAAAAAAAATGCTACATCAATTCATTCGTTATCCTCATTTTTTTTATTCTATGCTACTAACCAACTAATATCGGTCAAGAAAAAAGTTGGGGAAAAAATTTTTTTTTGATATCAGCTGACCGGGATTAATTAGGTTCCAATCTAATTAATTAATTATTGAATGGATATAATTGGCTATTTATAAAAAAAGAATAAATAATTAAGGAGAAATAAATACGAAACCCACCATCCTTACTTATTTGGTAGATGTTGTTACAACATTTATCTATCTCTCTATATAAGAAATAAAAAACACGATTGATGATGTATTATTATTATTATTATTGATTGAATGAATGAATTCATTAAATAATTCCTTAATTATATATAAGACCTTTCTTGTTGAAAACCAGAAACAATAATAATGAATAGCATGATAATACAGATATATATAATAAGCCAAAGCATGTGTTGATTACTATATTACTACTATATTACAGGAATATACGGTGAAATTAAAACATGCGCAGTACAAATTTATCCGTTATTCTTTGATGCATAATTGTTACAAAGCCTCAAAAAAAAAAAAAAAAAAAAAGTAGCATGAACAAAGAAGGTTTTGGTGTGATAATAGTGTTGGTGGTAATAATAACCTTAATTTTTTGGAAAAAAAATAATAAAAAAAATTAGCGATTGTTGTAATTGAACCTTGATTTTTTTATTTTGTAATTTTGTAATTTTGTAATTGGAAATCAATGTATGATTGTAATTTGTAAAGTCTAATTTGAATATGAACGAATTTGTAGTTGCTTCGTAATTGAGAAAAATAAACATTGCATAATAATAAGTCTTTGTTGTTTTTTTTTGTCATAAGAAAGAACAACAAATAAAACATCATCAAACATCGTCAAACATCATCACAATACTAATAATAACAACAATATACCCCTAAGTTAAACAACAAGAATCCTTCTCCTTCTCCTTAATATTACCCCAAAGATACATGATAGCAAATCCTTTATTTTGAAGAGTAAGGTGTACACATGTAAAATCGAATTGAGATTTATATCGTTAATTAATTAATTAATTTACTTTTTATCGATAATTTTAATTTTATTATTCCTTAGATTAGCAAAATTAAGCTATTAAAATTACTAGATTAAGAATAATAAAAAATTCATTCGGTTACATATTTGTTACATGTTATTGTTGTTATGGAAAAAAGAAGCGAAGAAGAAGAAGAAGAAGAAGAAAGAAAGAAAGAAAGAAAGAAAGAAAGAAAGAAAAAGACATATTACTCCATTGATAATAAAAATGGAATAAATATAAGCGGTATGTACATATGTAAATAATTGTTGCAATAGCATACATGTATGCATATACGTATACACGCATATAACATGATATATAAATAATCCATGATAAACCAGTTCAAATCTATATTTAGTAAAATGTGTACTTTATTTATTTATATTTATAAAAATATTTTTATTCATTCATCGGACTTTTGAGAAAATCGACGGCGTAAACTTGTTCAACTTCTTGTAATGCCGCCATTTTTTTTTTTTTTCATATACACACACACATGTATTTCGAGAGAGGAGAAATTTAAAAATAGGCATTAATTAACATTTAATTAAGTAAGAACCAAGAAATTAAATTAAAATTTAAATAATTAGCAGTTATTGTTTCCGTTGTAATCAATAATCATAATAATAACATCTCATTATTAATTAAGATTGATGTTGCAAATACTTCCATTAATTGATTAATTAATTAATAAAAAAATATTGCTGTATGGGTTTTTAGCATTCAATGAACTTAATTAGCAATAAAATTAAGTTGCGTACGTGCGTGAATTTGTTGATTGATTGATTGAAGTGTGAAAGAATAAGATTAAAAGGAAGATGTGAAAGAAAGAAAAAATAAAAGAAAAGGAGAGAGAATAAGAGAAAGAAAGTGATCAGCAATCATCAATCAACTAATTAATAATATTAATTAATAACAAGAATTTGAACAAGAACGACTAAAAACGAGAATTACTATTACTATTAATATTACTATTAATATTACTATTATTATTATTGTTATTGTTATTATTACATAGTTTTCACACTCGTAATTTTTGTTTTGTTTTGTTTTTGTTTGCTTATAAATAAATAAATTTACATGTTTTTTTCGTTCGCTAATGTTCGTTCGCTGATATTAATTAATATACTTGTTTTCATCATCATCATCAACAACAAAAAAACCACGACATAATCAATCAGCACAAGAATAGTTTCAATTTTTTTTGCAGTTGTTACCTCTCTCTCGCCGTTACCTCCGTTGCTTTAATGTTTAATAATAATAAATAATAGTTGTGCATATTCGGTATTATTTTTACTTTTATTTTTTTTTATTTTTATTTTTTTTTGCGAAAAAATAAACTGCATATTTATTTTAAAGTGTATATTTTCGGTCTTCAACGTTATAAATTCGGCATATATTGCATTTATAACAATAGGTTTTGTTTTTCGTCTCTTTCTTCTCCATTCATCTCCATTCAATAAATATTACACTAACAACATATATATTATACACACATAATATACATATAATGGATATATCAATTACCCAATTTAGAATTTCTAAAAACTCTTTTTAATTTTATTGAAAACTTTATTTGTATTTTTGCATTTCAGCTATTATTATTATGTAAACGACACACACACTTTACTCAACATAAATAATATTAAATATTGCTGTCATACAAAATGCATTCATTTATATAAGATAAAATAATTGATGACGATGATGATGACTATGTATGTTTGTAATAAATGTGTACAAGTGATTGGTTTTAAATAAATAATTGGAATCAGTATAATCAAATCAAAAAACTTGATTAATTTATAAATTAAAGTTGTGCGAGTTTCAAAATTGGTTTCTTTCTAGAAAAAAAAATTTTTATTAGATAATGTATGTAAATCATTCCTTTTATAGGGAACTGAATCGTAAGTTATAATTATTGGTATATAATTTATTATGTGGCTTGATGTTATTGTGGCTTGATATTTTTTTGTGTAAATCGCGTTTCATGCATCCTCGTGTATATATATATAGCAACAGGCTTTGATTGATTAATAATAATAATAATGACACGATGTTTTTTATATATTTTTTTGACGAATGACAAAAAAAATTTTTTATTTTAAAACTTGTACTTTTTTATTGTGTTATGTATTTTATTTATTCATCATACATAACACCTTCATCGCTTATTTACTATCTTAATTAATTAATGAATGAATCTTAGAAAAAAAAGAAGGGAATAATACTTTTGCAATGTTTAAAGGCAATAAATAATATAAAGAGATTATTATTGACGTGTAAAAGTAAAGTAAAATTCTAAATTATTATTATTATTATTTTTTTATTGTGTAAATATATATATATATATATAATAATTGTCTTTTTGTATGTAATATTTATTTTTATTATTGAATGTTTTAATGTGTTGTGTATTATTTTTATTGTCGTGAATTATTTAAATGTGTATATTTTGTTGTATTTTATGAGGAGATAAAAGAATAAAAATGTGTTTATGATGATGATTATAAATGTTATTGTGCAAAAAAGAAAGAAAAAATATGATGCAGACTACATACAAATGCAGGAAGAAAAAAATCTAAAAAATCTGTACAAATAAGGAAAAAAAAATAATAATTTGCGTTATTAAAAAAAAACGCCTTTACAAAGAAATAAAGAAAAAAGTTTTAATTGTTCTTTTTTTTTTATTTTTTAGCTAAAAATGAATTAATATATTTTTGTGTAACGACTAACTAAATATATCCTAATCACGCTAAATACATACATCTTGACCTAAACGACAGTAGCTGTGGTTAAAGGTAAAAGTAAATTACCGAAATAATTATTGTATGAAGTAGATCCAATTTCTATAGTAGGTTGACTTGGATTGTTGTAAGAGTAGGTAGATGTGGCTATTCCGTTTATAGATGATGTGCGAGTATAATTGTTGTAGTTGTTGTTGTAGTTGTTATAATTGTAATTATTATTATTATTGCTGCTACTATTATTGTTATTATTATTATAATTAGATGAAGACGACGACGACGACGATGATGATAGTGATATTGGTAGTAAATATTGCAAGTTGTTATTGTTGCGATTTGTTGTTGTCGTCGTCGTTGTAGCTGTTATATTTGTTCTTTTTGGTGGAGATATCGTCATATCATCAACGAATGCTTCTTGAGCCGACCTTTTACAATTTCCGCAACTATTACCACCACAACTACTATTTATATTAATGTTATTAATATTATTATTATTTACAACAGAGATATTATCTTGATTATTATTATTGTTGTTGTTGTTGTTGTTAGAATCATCGTCGCCATAATTAATAAAACGCGTGATTTTTTGTAACCAATCATTGTAATGGTCTATTGAAACGAACAATTTGTATTGAAGGGCACTCAAGAACTCAATTTCCATGGTATTTATTTCAGCAACGGGTATCCTAGTCACTTCTGACCAAGTTTTATTAGTATAAGTGTTATCGTCAAGAAATTTATTTGCCAACATCAACGCGACAGTGAATGTTCTGTACTCGGAACCGTTCTGACCTTTTATTTTTGGATTACGTATTTTCATACGATGAATATAGAGTAGCGATAATAATACAGCAGGAAACGATATTTGAGTTGTAGCTAATACGTCCAAACAAAATTTCTTGAAGGGATCTTTTGGTTTGTATTCGTTGAATCTTTGGCAATTGACGTATGAACCACCTGGAGGAATTTCCAAGGATAATGACCAATTTGAAGAGCTTTGAACATCGATAATGGAATTACTGTTGCTATTAGTGTTATTTGATGGTTGTTGTTGATAGTCGCTGAACCAAATATAACATGCCATATGAGCAGCGAACTCAGAAATACGTTCGGGAAGGAGCATCATAAGTTGGTTTGATTTTAAATTGTTAATGATATTAATACTCATAATTAAAATTTGAAATTTTTTTTTGTTTACGATATTTTATATTAGTTGAAAAATTTTTAAAAACAAAAAAAAATAGATAATCGAGAGATTTTATACAAATTTTTTTTCCTATAAATAATATAAAAAATAATATAATATAATATATTTAATTTATATATATTTGTAATGAATAAATAATATAATACGATGATTATATTATTTTATTATTACTATTATTACTATTATTATGATGTGGATGATGATGATATTTAAAAAAAGAAGAATAAAAAAAACTAAATAAATAAAATAAATAAATAATAATAAATAAATAAATAATAACTAATAATTACAAACTAAATAAATTTTTAATTTTTTTATATTGTAAATTAGTAATATAAATTAAAACTCGTGTGTAAGTTAAGTGCAAAATGCGAGTAGTATAAAAAAGCAAAAAAAAAAAAGTTTGTGTGAAAGTTTATTATTATGCAATTATCTATATTATAAATGAATGAAAAAATCGGATTTATTTATATTGTCTGTCTTATTACATACAAATAATGATATTTTTTTTAGTCGTTGTTGATGTTTTTTTTTTATTTTTCATTTAAATTAAAATTTTTTGGCGGTTTTATTAAAAAAAAAAAAAACTAAAAAAATTGGCGTGATTGATTATTCATAATATAATAATATTGTAGATGAAGTAAAATGTGTGTGGTGAGGAGTAAGTAATGTGGTTTAATGTTGATATAATTATTTATTATTAAGAAATTTTATTATAGAAAAATGGGGGAGCATGAAATTTCAGGGATCAAAAAAATTTTTTGTTGAGTGATATGTTTTGCGCGTGTGATCAACAAACTGATGTATCACTGTATCACACGAATCAAATGATCAAAATAAGTTGGGATCTTTCGAATAAAAACATACAATAATCAGATATGATTATCTTTTTTTTCTTAAAATCGACTAGTTTATCCAAATTTTCTATCTTTAAACCGTTTAAAAACTTCATCAAAAGAAATGTATATGCACAGCACATCCGAAATGATTTATCTATTGAATATAAACACAACGAACATCCATGACGTTGTTGGTAGTTGAGGATAATCAAAACTAACTACCGCATCGTTACCGTTGCAGATAAATATATGAATACATTTCGATTATGTTAATCTTGGAATTGAATGTGAATGTTGGTGTACAATAGAATTCTTTATCATCATGCAAATGAACCACTAAATATGGGAAAAAATTCATAATAACCGATAAATAAATAAAACATTACACGTTATTGTTATATATAAGGATTGTGAGGATATTATTTGAATCCCTAAAAATATTCTCGCTTTTTTTGACGTCTTTAAATGTTGGATTTGTTATTGTTACATTACGGCCCCCAAATATAAATAATAAAATTAAAAAAAGGTGGGGAAAAAGTGTAATGAATTGTATAATAAATAATAATAAATAATAATAATAATAATAATACCTTTTATTATCGGATATTTATTGTCTAAAATATTTACATTTATTTAATTCGTATTTATTTTGGAATAGATGTTTTTTTGAATGAAAAAGTCTTATTTATTTATTTTATTTATTACATATATTACAATTTAAACGCCGCTTATGTGTAAAAACGTTAGTATAAAATAATATATAATTAATGAATCTTTCAAAATTAATTTAGTCTAATAATAATAATAATAATAATAATAATAATAATAATAAGAATATAATATATAAATTCTGAATTAAAAGAATGTTTAAACTTAATTTAATTAAATGTGTTATTAGATGTGTTAATTAGTATTGTATAATGAGCTGTGATAAAAGAACAAACAATAATAATGATAATTGGTTAGCAGTTTTAAAATGTTATTTTAGTTTATATATATGTGTGTGTGTGTGCATGTATGTATACACACATATACATATAGAGATATAACTTTTTTTAGCCATCCATGGAAAATAAATTTGAAAAATATGAAAAAGATCAACAATATTTTATCTTTGTAATATTATATATATTATATATATTACATTGCACACACACACACACACCACACACACATGTTTTACATCCAATCCATGCTCATCTACACCACACATTCAATCACATCCAATTAATCATCCACATTCTACAATAAGAAGAACAAGAAGAAGTTAATTTGAAATATTATTAGTATTAGTGTCATTCATTCTTATTAGAACAAGAAGTCATTACATGTGTTGTATTATATACTTCTTTATGTAGATTGATTTTATGTAAAAGGCTTCTTGGTATCCTAATAATTGTAATAATTATTTGTTGTAACTGACAAATAATAACTTCATAATAAGAAATTTCAATCAACAATCATAATGATAATAGGATATAAATAAATAATAAGATGAATAACAGGAATAATTAATTAATCATCTCATACACACACACACACACACACGCCACTAATCAATTACCGATTTATCAATTTCTTCCCCCACCGACATATTCATTCACCTTTATATGTCATTCACAATAATAACAACTATTCTCCTTCCTCTCTTTCTTTCTTTCTGCCTGTCTACCTTTCTTTCTTTATTTATTTATTATTTATTATTTATTTTATTATCTCCTTGTCTTGAAATATTCTCTAATTATGGAAATATTAGCCGAGAATAACCAAAAGATAAATTTTTTTAGGGGTTGTAGAGATTCCCTTTTATACATACACACAATACAATAAAGACAAATATTATTATTTTTTGAAACATCACGCATTCCATTCCATCCCAACAATTATCAAATCAAAAATCGATCAAATCAATCAATCAATCTTATTAATATTTTTAATTTAATTGATTAAATTAATTACTTTTATTGGATTATAAGAACAGCCATGTGAAATTACTACCAATTCATGGTTCGTTTCAAAAATTAAAAAATTTATATATACGAATATAATAAAATGCAATTATGGTTACACAAAGCAATAGTGACAATCAATAAAAAAAGCACAAAAAAAACAAATAAAGTAACAAACACGCTCGCTTCGCTCTTTCTTCTTTTTTATAAAAAAATCCCCCTAAAATTTCTTTATTTGATCTACAAAAAAATTTGATCCAATTGTAAAATTGAAATTAATTAATATAAATAAAATAATAGGCTATTATATTTTTTTGGATAGAGTTACCTAATTTAGAAAACTGACACATATTCCATATACGTAATCGGACGTAATATACTGCTTATTTTTTAGTTTATAAATAATGCTTATATAAAGTTGCTTATTTTTTTATTTTTTGCCAAATCAAATTTAGCACAAACATTAATTAATTGCTATTTATTTATTAGTGCAATTAATTACTAATGCCTTTATTTATTATTTTATTTATTAATAAAACAAGCCAATCAAAATAAATAAATCCTATAAATCTTAAAAAATAATTTTAGATGTAAAAAGTTACACACACGCCATCAATTAATCATTCTTTTAGAAAAAAAAAATTAAAAAAAAAATAAATGTTTTGGAATTTTTTTTTTTATACATACATGTGATTTGATATAAATATTATGAATTATAATTAGTAATAATAGATAGATGATGATGACTATAGTAATAATAGTAAAAACTTCTTTGAAAAAATCCCGAGAACCCCGAACAATAAAAGGGAAAATAACTCAAAATGTAATAATAAAATAAGGCTAGTAATAACAACAATAATAAATATATCATGATAATATTATTATATGATGGATAGATATTGTTTTACTTATGATCTAAATAATAGCACTAAATTCCACTAACACCACCACAAACTTTTTTTCACGAATGAATGAATTTTTTTGGTGTTGATGATGACGCATTAACACATTAGCATGATACTAACAAAAATAATTCCATTAACAATTTTATTACATACTCGGAAATTATTATTATTAATATAATAATTCTTATTTGTATATATATATATATATATAATTAATAAATAAATAAATTATCCGCCATCATCATCCATAATATACATATATAGAAAGTATGATTGAATGATTAGGTTTCAGAGCTCAATGTCATAACCATAAAATGGAAGTCAAATCAATATCGGATGGAGGATGATATAAATGAAAAATGGGATTGGAGAAATAGAAGAGTTTAGGCTGAACGGGGATTGGGATGCGGATATTCCGGAAAGTAAGCAAGCGGATATGTATGTGAAAAATATAATTCTATTATTATTTATTATTATTATTATTATTATTATTATTATTATTATTATTATTATTATTATTATTATTATTATTATTATTATTATTTATGTCAAAAACTTTTTTTTTTTAAAATCTTCTTTGTCAAACATATATAGTGAATGAATCAATTGTTCTTTCCTCAATTAGAAAAATTTTATTATTTTAGAGATTTATAAAAAAAAACGCCTATTTTCTTATTTCAATAGTAAAACTTTATTTTGAAGTTGGTAAAAATTTATCTCTCACATATATAAGATGATGATGTAAACATACAACAACACAATCGAATAATATCACCATTGATTATTAATTGATATTTAACAGCCAAGCGTAAATAAAATTCCAGTCCTTCTTTCTGATAGGTGGGAAGGAGATTAGATTGAGCTTGGAATAATAATATTTGTGAACATACAAAATACATATATATAATAGGAAAAATGTAATTGTAATAGGAAAAATGAAAATATGATATGAAAATCATCGATGATGGTTTGTTTTGTTTAATGCTCCTAATGTTATTATTGCTGCTATTATCACTCACTAATTGCTGGCTATTTCTTTTGTTGTTGTTGTTGTTGTTGCTGCTGCTGTTGTTTTTGTTGTTGTTTTTGTTGTTGTTGTTGTTGTTGTTGTTGTTGTTGTTGTTGTTGTTGTTGTTGTTGGAATTTCCATATTTTCACAATTAAAATTGCCTTCAATTAATTAACTGCTGACATATTATTATTATTATTATTTGTTTTAGTCA